AATTGGTTTGGTGATTTTTGATGGTCAAAATTATTCCAATTTTGATGGTAGAAAGTAGAAATTAATTACGGCACTCACTAGTGTTCCATGTCGCAATCCAAAAAAGGAAACAAAATGGTTGTAAAGGTGGTTGCAACCAGCGGTTGCAATCGTTTTTATATGACACAAAGATGGTAGCAACCATCATCAAAAGTTGCAGCCGGTATCCTTAGCACTCACTATTAAAAACATAAGTGCAACACCCTTTACTACATGTGTAACCCCCTTTATGACAGTGTCAAAACACTTTGGGCTGCATGTATAGCCTCAAACATACCAAACAAAATTTAAACCGTTTTATTTTACAGCTTCCTCTTAACATCAGAGTCCAAATGCAATTTCAGAGCCACCAACCCTGCTCTGAATTGTGACCTCCTGTGCTTGGACAAGCTGCAGATTCTCTTGATATTCCTCCAGGTTGTGACTTGGTCACAGAGCCACCCTTACCCTAGAGGTAAGATCATTGCAGGCAACTTTTCGGCTAGCATGCCAGCGGCCTTCTCTGGTCTGGTGCTGTAAGGGAAGATTAGTGAAAATATCCTTGGCGATGATACAGTTTTGGTAAACTCCAGGGCCTTACACCCCCCTGGAATTCTGTTGCATCATATCATTGGGGGCCTTGCAGTCAGATTAGCCTTTTGTACATGAGGAACGTGTGAGAATGACTGTAAATGTGTTCAAGGTAGCATGTGTGCTTCAACATCTATAAAATTTCCGATAATCAAATGTTGCATATTTGAAATGTTTCTTTTCAACAGTCAATGCTGCCTTGACATTTGTGATTATAATAATATAATATTAGTAATATTATTGGTTACGCAAAGCAAAATATTATCAATGAAAATCTTGTAATTACCCAGCAAGATCTGTTCCACATTTTGATTCCAATTAAAATATTTATAAATTAAAATAAAAATATCAATACAAGTAAAAAATAGTACCTCTGGTTAGTTGTTAACACGTTTTCTTTAGGAGACCCAAACCAAACCAAACAACAACACTCATGTTTTGTCACCTTGGACTCTGTCAAAAAATAAATTGTTTTCCCAAAAAAAAAAAAAATCAATCATGTCTGTCCTACCAAAAAAAACCAATAGGATAAATAATTAATGTGTACATGTCGATCAAATAACAAACTTTTTTTTTCTTTATTAAAAGCATGCCTTGTAATAATAAAAATATTGACAATAAAAGAAGAGAATCAAAAACTTTGGCCAAGAAAAATGAGTAAGTGTTTATCATATTGGTGGTGGTTATCACTTGCCACTCGCCGTCATTCTAGTTAATTATGAACTTTTTTTTTTATTATATATAGTGTGGAAAATTTGGAAGACTGTATATATCCACTAAAAAATAATGGAAAAGAACTTGATGATAAAGAAAGATGTTTTTTTAGAAGTTGTAAAGAATATTTCGACAGCTTTGATAAAACACTTGGAATTTAAAAAGCTTGTATTACTTTATGGCCAACAAAGGCAGTATAAAATTTACAGTGACTTTATTAAAAGAAATTTACATTGGGTGGTTACAGCAATTTCTAAAGCAAGAAAAAATTAATATAAACTTTTATATTTCCAAATCAAATGAGGAAAAGGTATAATTTAATTTTTTCAATTTATATTTTTGTTTTTTTTTTATTGCACAATAATGATGAATGTAAAAATTGACTAAGATTAAAGGTGGTGGTAGACACCAACTTCATTTAAGATATAATATCTTTTAAGAAAAATTTTTGGCAAAAGATTAGGATATAAATTAATATTGTTCTTTTTTAATATTGTAATATATTATTAATAATATAGAGTACAAAACTTATTCATGAAACTATTAAAACAATCAAAAGAAAAACTTAGAGTATTAAATCTTGAAGTACATATAATTTATATACACGTATATAATATATTGTCTTTTTTTATTTAAAAAAAAATCTTATAAATTTTTTTAGGATGAAAATATAAATCAATAGCCATGGAATTTTAGAAATTCATCAACAACAATAATGACACCATCATCACCAATCCAAAATTGTCTGAAAGAGGAAATCTTAAAAGGTTCATTTGAAGAACTAGATCAGGATAATCCATTATGCTCAAATATTTTAGACGTATCTGATCCAGATTCATGGTTAAAACCCTTTTTTAATGATGATGAATGGAATGAATTATCAGATATCAGTGATTGTATATTTAATTCAAGCGATTTTACTTCAGTTATAAATGAATCTAACTTGAATGAAATTAAGAATCATTTGTATGTATATTCTTTTATTTAAGCATATTATTTCTTTTTAATACAATATAATTATTTTTTATTTAGTTCATACTTCAGAAGGAATGGTGAATACAAAGAAGAATATGATATTAATGAAGGTACATGGATGTCACATTCTGTGACAATTCCTTTTAATATCGCAGCAAGAGATATTCAGAAATTAAGACTCTTAGTGCAAATGAATTTTTTAGCTCTTGATCATTTTATTGTTATAAATTTGTTTTTACTTAAAAAAAAAATTTATCCAGTTTTGAAAAGGGATCAATAAGTTCAAAAAAATGAAAAAATGAAAACAGTTCTAGTGATGAAATTGACAATTACAAAAAAGGTATTTTTTTTTAAAAAAAAATAAATCTTATTATTTTGAGTAAAAATGACTATTTCCTTTTAAAAATGAAGAAAAAGGCAAGAAAAGGACAAAAGCCAGATCTTAAGTTTATTTCTAAAGAGACATATAAGAATCAAGGAAAAGTCAATTTTGAGTTATTAGTAGGAGAAGTGTGCAGCTCACCATGGGAGGAAAAACAACCAAAAATGTTATCTGACTTAAATAAAATGATAAAGATGATGAAAGACTGCAAGGATTTGATATCTAGTTATTTCTATAATAAATACAGAAATGATAGTAACATTGATTATAACAACAATGGTGTAAATCAGGGTTGGCAAATGTGCGGTCCATTGATGGTCTATTGGGTCCATTAGTGTAACACTTTAACCATATTTAGTATTTTATTAATGGCAATGGACCAGTCCAAAATCCATCTGTTCTCAATGGACCAGTCAATTTGCCAACCCTGGTGTAAATATATATGGTGTTTTAGTAGCTGGTAAGAAATGTTTTTTATGTTTTATATATTAGTTAGTATTTAATGGTGAAATATAATAATTTCTAAATCTTTCTTCAAGGTTTTGTAATGAAAATCTTTGTGCTTGACCAACCTGGTACAGTATATATAGAGTTAGGCTGGTTACCAGTATTGACATTCCAGTTAAAAATAGTTTGGGCGAAAAGATATTTTATGAAAATTTGAATAAATTAATGGTAAGATATCTGATTATTTTATAAGAATAAATTATAAAAATGAATGACTTAGAAAAGTGTATTCAATTAATTAAATAGTACTCAATAAGCAAAACATATGATTTGATTCAAAACTTGACAAAAGGAAACAAAAATATTTATTATCATCAATCTCACGTACACAAAGATCTCTTCCACATAATTAATGTTCGGTGCATGACTGGTTAAAAAAATTTTTATTTTAAACCAATTTCGTCAAGTCAATACAGTTTCTTTCTCAATATTAATAATTCATATTCTATCTATTTCTATATTGTTACTTTCAATTTCAATTGCAATTTTAAACAACCTTTAAAGCCTCTAGCTTGACTTCTATCATACTATTTAATAAATTATTAAAATAAAATTTTATCACTTACATCATGTATTAATAATTAATAAATTTATCCCACTGTTATTGTTATGAATATGACCCCGGAAACTACATAGATAGGTTACCCTAAAGTTTTCAAAATTTACTAATGGGTTTACCCAACACTCTTCATATTAGGCTTACCCAAGTTGGTAGTAACAAAACCCCAGATTATTATAATTGAGGTAACATCCGATTTTGATAAAGTTTTTTGCTGAAGTTACATGAAGATTTGGGTAAAGGCTTTTAGTAATTATTGACAAAAATTTATATTTTTATCTTGGAAATAATAATATTTATTTATTATTAGATTCAGATATGGGTTTGTTAAGAATTACTGAAGAACATCAATGACTATATTAATATGATTGATTTTTGAAATGTAAGGAGCAATTTTTTCACCTTGCTCCTTTTTCAAAATACTTCTAATGGTGCTGTAATTTTTGGGTTCCATAGTAGACCTGATATAAATGAGTTTCATATTAACTATTTTTATATAGAGATAATATAAGAAGTGGGAGAAAATATCACTATCACATTGTAGTAGTAATACAATTGTACTGTTAAAAAATTTTTTGATCACTGAAATTCTGGTAATACCAATGTTCACTTTGTCTGGTTTTGTTGCAGTATGCCCCACTTTAGTAACCAATGCAATTACCATTTTTTAAATTATTCTCTTAACAATACTTACTTAGGAGCCATAGATCGATCACCTTTCTTTCTAATTTGTAAAAAATAGTAACAGTTCTAATAGTTAAAAACTGAACAGACTTTTTATCCATTCTTAACTAGAGTAATTCTTATATAATAAACACTTATTTTTATATTGTTTTTAAAAAATTTTTAAAAGAAAAAAAAGGAAAGTTGTGATTGTACACAAAAAAATTTAGCAACTTTATTATTATTACATGTATGGGTTGTACAAGAACCCCTATTTTTTTGATGTGATTGATTTTTTTTTTTTTTTGGATGCGAATAAAAATTTTATTTTTTACAAAACGAGGAAACGTAAATGTTGACTGGTATGGTTTGGGTCTGAAGACGTGTTAATGACAGAGGTACTATTTTTTATTGTATTTTATTTTATTTTATTTTGTTGTTTTATAAAATGTCTTGGTGTCTTTGTTTTTATAAATGTCATTGAAATCAAGACTATAAGCAATTAATGATTATAGATGATCTGCACCGTACGCGCAACAATAAAGTCATTTATTCCACTTAAATTTATTTTATTTCCCATCAATCGTTAATTTTGTAAATGAATTAAAGTAACAACAAAACTTTAAGCCACTTGACCAATTATTATTTTATTATTATTTTATTATGATAATATTGAACACTAACTTCATTTAAGTCCAATTTTAAATACTACTCACAAGAAATTCATTTCACATAATATAAAATTTGGAATGAATTCATTTTATTTGTTTGGATTTAATTTATACATATTGAAGAAAAAATTTTTTAAAAAATAATTAATATATACAAGTTATTGCTTTTTATCATGTTGTTGATTCACCTTTTCCTTGACAATAATAACAGTACAGTGACAATTATGAGTACAATAGTCACTAACTGATCCTAAAAGAGTTCTAATATTTTGGAAATAATTAGATTTAAATTGTTTGATGTTTCAATTATTTCATTCACAGATAAAAAAGAAAAATATCTAACCTTTTCAATGCACCTAATCCACGATTACCCAATATTAAAGCCTCAGCGTTCAATTCACCAACCTTACGTACAATCTCATCTCTTGCGTCTCCTCTCATTGCTATAGCTTTACATGCAAACTAAACAAATAATTAAAAGGTGATTATTATCAATCACCATTGTCATTATTATTTACCAATCAATGCTAATTATTAATTGTGAATACCTACATTGTGACTCTTTAATTTAGCAGCATATTCTTGTAATAATGTATGACTACTAATACGATACTAAATGTATTTTAAAAATTAAAATAAAGAATTTAAGAATTAAATTTTATTTTTGTTATATTGATTTCTCTCTCAAATCCTAATTAGTTACCTGTTCTTCTAGATTAGCTACAATTTCACCGAAATCCATATAACTCGCACCCATTGCTAAATATATCAAGGAAAAGAAATTAATCAATCAATTCAAAATATTTCCATCATCAATTCATATCTTCTTACCAGCATAAGGTATAGGAACTGTAGGAACTGGTCGAACATTAACTAATACAGTCTAATTATTTCAATTAATTAATCAATGGAAATATTAATTGCAATCCCAATATTAAACTTTCTAATTCTAATCACACATAAATTAAATAAATACCAAATCAGTTTCTTTCCTCAAAAAGTTTTTCAAAGACCAGTCGAATGCTTGCTGACTATCACTTGAGTGATCTAAAGCTATGACCACAGTTCGAGTAATAGGTGTTTGGGATTCTGAATCTTGAGCTGTGGTTAACTCTGTATCGTCTGCGTGAGGTGGTTGTTGTCCTGATTGTGTCGTTTGAGTAGCTTGAGTAGATGTTGTTGACATTTTTGTAATTTAAAGTTTTTTATATTTATTATAATTTTTAGATTTAATTGATATTTGAGATTTGTAGAAAATATTTCGAATTTATATAAAAAAATCAATTATAATAATGGGGTGATTTTCCCTGATCACCAAAAAAAATCATCCCACTTTGCCTGAAAAATTTTCACACCAATAATAATTATTTTGGATCATACTTACACAAATGTCATAGTCTTTAAAAAAAAAATTATGCGATATCTCAACAATCAAGCAATCAATCTTAAAGTTCTGCAACAAAATCAGACAAAGTGAATGTAACTAATACAAATTCAAACTTTGATTAGATTATTACACTCATACTCAAAGTATGAAAATTTGTAATATTTAATTGTTCATATGATAAACAATCTTGTTGTTTCCTTTTAACATTGTACTATTAATGATATTAAGATTGTCTACAATATTTTCAGTTACATATATATCTTCTAAATAATCCGTGCTGATATGTATTATTGCAGAAAAGACTTTTTAATGCGAAGCTAGGTAAATTTGGATTTTGTTCGCGAACAAAATCTTCGTAGAACCAATGAGCTTGTTCAATTTGAAAGCAATACGTGGAAGACAATTCCTCTTCAGGAACATTTATTATAAAACGACTGTAAAATATTCGTTTATTATTATAATGTAGACTAAATAACCATAGGAACTAATAAGTACAGTGCGGATCATCTATACTCAAAGGTTAAAATTTTTGAAATATTATGTGATCCACACATTGGATTTTAAAAAACCCACACCATTCAATTTAACTTTAAAAAGGGAGTCTATTAATCCCAAAAAAAAAATTTGTCTGAAATTTTCTTTTCATGGATTTTTTAAATTTGAAAGTTATGCTCAGAAATCAACAATAATTTTCGTGTTACAATATTTTGAATCTCTATGAAAAAAGTTGTTACATGAAATTTATTTAGTATTAGTCTCAATTTCTCAAGTGTATAATAATAACAAAATTCGGCCAATTTTCAGTTTAAGAAAAAAAACAGCCAATAAGTTTTGAAGCTTGAGTCGAACAATAAAACTTATCAGTTAAATTTTTTAAAATGATATAATTTTTTTTTTGTTTTAATATTTTGAAGCTGACCAATTGTTACTATAAACAATTAATGATTATAGATGATCTTCGTGGTAAAATAATAAATAAGCCGTCAGCATAGTGAAAATTTGAAATGTTACACTAATTTTTTATATTGTGCAACGTAGTTTTACAATACACGGCAAACATTCTGGCAATAAAAAGTAAGTGATGAATTGGATTTGAATTGGATCTGAACTTGATCTCCAATTTAGAGAGGTATAACATTTCGTGTAACAACAAACTTCCACTATGCTTAAGTCGTCTAGAATCTGAGTAAATGTTGTAAATTTCAAACAACATTCTTTCAGATGTGGTAAAGATTTGTTTTTTTTTATTTTGGTTTAAATTTTTTTTGAAAAAATCACAAATTTGATCAACATTTATAATGCTATCTTTGCGGTTAAGCAAGAATAAAAAAAATGAAAAATGAAATTTTTTTTTTAGGGAACATAAACAACATTTTTGCCTTCATTTCTTAAAAATTGTCGTTTTATTAAGGATTTGATCTGAACATCGATAAGTTTTTGCTAAAAAATAAAAAATAAATTGAATATTAATTAATGAATAGAAAAAATGACAAACAATAATTAAATTATTTACCTGAACTTGCTGATGAAAATTATTTTTAAAATCTTTTTGTATAAAACTAATCAAACTATTATGTTGGTAACGTTTATGTAATTTCATTAATTTCATTATCCTTGAATCTATCCTTATTTCATTGGATATATTATAAGAAGAGATTTGAACATCCTCTGATGTTGATATCTTTTTCATCCCCAAATGAATGAATACGTGTTAGTTTATATATATGTATCAAATTAATTGTTTTTTAAATCAAGAATAAAATATATTTTTTACCTGTCTTTGTGATTTTCGTTCATCAATTATTATTGGATTGTCAACAGTTGATTCAATGAAGTTTAAGTTTTCGTTAATAAAAATAGCATCAGATAAATTTAATCTCTTTGAATTCACAAATTTATTCAACAATTTAATTTCACCAAATATCAACGAACTTAAAGCACTTTTTAATACTTCAAAATCTAAATAAAGTAAATAAATAATATGGAATGTTAAATATTATATAATAGATACATATATGTGCATAAAATACATACATACATAATATATTTACCTAATTCGGTATTTTTCATAATTTCACGAATAGTGTATGATATTTGATATGATCTTGTATAGTTGAACATTTCCAATATTATAAACATGCACATATTTATACTAAAGTACATTTTTCCCTAGCAGATAATATTGAAAAATACATTAGTATTAATATTCTATTAATAATATTTATAGTAATATAATCATTAACTACCTTTGGATGAATTAAAGAAATAATTAGATTATCATAGGAATGTAACCATTTAAGATTTCTATTAGCACCATCTCTTCTCTTACAATAAAAATAATCTTGAAATGATTTTCTCATCAAGAACAACTAAAAAATTGATTAATATATATACAAGTTAACATATAATGATGATGAATGATGATGATGATGATATATTATTATTATTGGATTTACTTCATATGGTATTTTTAGATCAGCAACTTCAGGCGATGGTCCAGTGATAAATTTTGGCCAATAGGACCCTGTTAATATTGTTACTTTGAGATGATTAAAAATCTACAAAAATGTTTGATTAATGAATGGTAAGACATTAATTATTAATTATAGATGTCAATCAATCAATTAATTGTCGTTGTTGTTGGTTAATTAATATTTACATCAAAATCTTTTTTTATTCCAATTGATTCATGGATGTCTTTAATCATCCCATATAAATTATCTAAATATAAATCGTCCCCTGAAAATGAATTATAAAACAATTATATATCATACAACAATATAATAATAATCAATAATTTAACATCTACCTATTATATTTGCCCTGTTAAATAATGACAAAATCCACTCTTCATTCGAAAGATTAAAGTTTTTGTCATCATGATGATAAAGTAGTCTTTTAGCAAATTTTTTCTTATAATGTTTCATAAAATAAGGTTTATCTATAAATAACAATAATTAATAATATAGCAGCAGCAGCAGTAATAATGATAATAAAAATTATTACCATCTAATAATTCAATTAATGAAGTAATTTCTAATATTTCATCTATTTTCTCTGATTTTGTGTGGTTTGAAGGTGTTATTATTAAATGATCAATATAATCGACTAATAAATAAGCAGATTAATAATTAATAATTAATTCATTCATAAGATACTAGACAATTATTATCAATGTTATCAAACAATTATTTTATTTACCACAAAAATTAGTGATATTATCTTTTTTTTCATTGACAAATGATATGAAATTTTTATTCCACATATTTATAATATTTGAATATTTTTCATTTGATTGAATGTTTTTAAATTTCCTATTTAATTGACTTAATGTTTGCAAATTTTCTTTGTTGATTTTTAATGATTTTTGTGGTGAAAAGATAATATGTGAATTATAAATATTCTAAATAAAATAAAAAGTATCAAGAAAATATATAATTAATTTAAAAATATTGCAACATTAATTAACTATAAATGACATACTTGATATATATATGTATATATATACTCACGTTGATGTATTTTTTAAAGAAAATATCCAAAAATTTAATTAAATCAATAGTCTTGCAAATATCATATAATAAAACCAAATTCACTATACTATCAAAATCAAAAAAAACTATTGAAATGAATAAAATGAATGAATGAATGAATGAATGAATGTTGAATAGTGAGTGAATAACAAATAATAATAAATAACAAATAATATTCATATAATATATAATATGTATATACCACTTTCTCAAATGTATATATGCTCATACCTTTCTTAATTATAATATCCATATGCCTGAGGTAATATTCATTAATCATGATCTTAACTGAAGATTCTTTGATATACAATTCTTCACCAAAAAAATAAGTCACTTTATCAATCTCAAATTCAATCTGTTGTTTGATCAATTTCAAATAGGTGCCTATATTACGATTTTCAATTAATGGTCGATATGATTGACTTTTCTCATGAAAAAATTTTCTTGAATTTTCTAGAAATGCATATTTAAATGAATCATAAAGTCCCAGTTCCTTGATTGACTTTATCATTGTCTTTATATAATCATCATAGTGACCATATTCATTATTGCCATTAGTATTACTGCTGCTGTTGCTGCTGTTAGCATTTGTAATTTTATTGTTGTTGTTATTTATGTTAATATAAATATTTTGATTTCTATAAAAGTTAATTAAATTAATTAAAATTAGTCAATCAATTAACTAATTGGAGAAATTACCAGGAAAGGAATTAAAAATTTGATAAATCTTTTTTTTTACCCCAATTCATTAAACATGATTAATACAGATTTAATAAGATTATTACATATAACATTTGCTTTTTTAAAATTATTAGAAAGCATTCTCATCCCAAATGTCCTAAAATAACAAAAATCACATATTAATAATAATATGACAATGGTGATATAATGATGATGATTATGATGATGATAATAGCATGTTATATTAATTAATACATCACCATAATGTTTGATTTATTTTATTGAAAACATCTTTAAGAAATGGATAATATCTACTGACAAAAATCTATAAAATAATAATGATGATCAGTTGGACAGTTAATTGGTCATCATCTATTCATTTGTTCATTTATTCAGCAACTAATAAATTAGAATTTTCATATAATTATGTTACCAGTTTATATTCAAAACATTTCCAAAAGTGAAAATATAATATAGTAAAATTTTGTCCAGGTACAGGAATTCTAGTAAATAAAGATATAAATAATACATATTAGGAGATGACACACCTTTACCTTCACTAGGAACTTGGATAATTATAGTTGAACTGGTATTGTGGAAATGGGTAGAAATTGATGATTAAATCTTGCAAACAAAAAAAAAGCTTTTTTAAAAAATTGTTCCAAAAAGGAAACCGGTTTACCTTTTTTAGTAAGATTTTCCATACGACATCAAATTAATTATAATTACCCGAGCTCCCCCTCAAACCACTCACTACACTCTAACCCTTTCCTCCCCCATAAAATTTAAAAGAAAATAAAAATTAACATTACTGTTGAAGTTGAGAAATCCTAGTATTGATATAATATGCTAAATTGCAATCCAACACCAAGATCAAATCATTTGGTGCCAAATCTTGTTTTAAATACAACTGTTGAATATGATCTCTGTTACTTGAAAATTCATTCTCTATGGATTTAAGGTCAAAATCATTGTTTAACATAACTGAAATGTGTTTTTTAAATTTATCAAATTCATAAACTTGACTTGTTAAAATATTATTGTTGTTGTTGTTGTTGTTGTAATAATTAGTGATTGGTGTTGCTAATGATTTTGATGATGCAGATGATATGGCAATAGGTTTTGTTGTTGGGTATGGTGAATATGGCGAATATGGCGACGTTACTCCTACTGATTATTGGGAGGAAGATGACAATGATTGTGGACATGAATATTCATGTACAAATTCAAAATTACACCCATATAATAATCTTTGTGAGTTGAATTGATGAAAAGATAATTTGAAGTAAAATTACCATTATTATTACTCATAGCATTACTCATAAGGTGGTGATTCATGGTGTAAAGGCCATTACTCATGACGTAAAGGCCATTGCCATTACTCATGGTGTTGAGTCTATTGCTCATGGTGTTGTTGAGGATATTATTGTTGGAAATGGAAGAAGCAGTAGTGGTAGTGGTAATTGGTGATTGCTGTTGCTGTTTCTGAATTTTTTTAAATTTTTTATTAGTGTTATTTGAAGTGAGTGGTAACCTTAATCTTGCTGCTGCCTCCTCTATTGCTGTTGTTGTTGATCTTTTATCGCTTGTGATTTCTCTTGGATTTTCCATTGTTTACACTCGAAATAATTTCTTGGATGATTGTTATTTTAGTTTTAAAAAAAAGAGGTTAAAAAAAGAGCTATAGTTGTTGATATTTACGTTAGTAACCAATTGGGTTTGTGTAACGGCATATGTTTAGCCAATCAACAATACTCAACGAATAAAGACCCGCCTGGACATCATTCGGTTTGGGACGGGGTTTGGAAGCTTTCGACGTTACACATTATATGATCTAATAAAATTCATTTCATTTTTATCAAAAATTTTTTGTGATATCGACATGGGGGTATATCAGAGCGAAATTATGTCATTTTGGGCACTCCCCCTTGGTTTACATTACAATTGAAGATGGGGACGGTCGATCCAAAAGTAACATATATTCTTGGAAATCATTTCCTAAATAAAAAATTTGATCAGACGGTCACACACATATATCAATTCCATATTAATATCACGAATGTTACACACTAAGATTTCACAAAACCAAAACTGTCCGCTATATAATTGTAATGCTTATTTCTATATTGATATACAATAAGAATTATCATTAATAACATGCGTAACAACAATTCGTTTAACCATAGATCTCACAATGGTATTATTATATACGTACGCGCAACAACAATTCGTTTAACCATAGATCGATCTCACATTGTTATTATTATTATATACAATAAGTAATACGCGTAGCAATGATTCGTTTAACCATAGATCTCACAATGTTATTATTATATACAATAAGAATTATCATTCATAGTAGTATCGTTACCTATTACCATCAGTTGATTTTTTTAATGGTTGCATGACAATGATTCATTTAACCATAGATCTATTTTTGATTAAAGACAATTAACAACACAATGTTATTATAAAATCATCATTAGTAGTAATATACTTTTTTAATGGTTGCACAACAATGATTCTAGATCCAAATAAATGTTATTATTATCATTAACAATAGTATCATTACCTATTATCATTGATTTTTTTTAATAGTTGCATAACAATGATTCATCGTTTAATATACAATAGGAGTATAGTAATAATACCTCGCGTAACAATAATTCAACCATAGATTCATATTAAATACAATATTATAAACCTGTATTATGTATTATTTTAAGTGAATGTATAAAATGAAATAAACTAACAATTCTAATTATATTATTCAAAGATCTTTATTAACCCTTCCTTCTATTTTAAATATAATCTAGATCAGTAAATAATAATAATGTAATAAAAAGAACAAATCTCTCATCAAAACCTAACCAACTCTTGTACTTGGAGCCCATAGTACCTTTGTTGTTGCAACACTTGAAGTTCAACGCATCATTTAAAAAGGTATTAGCAAAAAAACTCAATGTATAATTAAAACGAAACTTAATAGAAAAGAACTTTTTTTGAAAAAGATCAATGAAATAAAACTTTAGACGTAAAAAATCTTCACCACTACTTCTCTTTCACCTTGGGGAACCAAAATTTTTTGGATCAAAAAGTGCATTTATTTTATTTGACAGTTTTGTGAAGTCTTAGTGTGTAACATTTGTATTGAACCTCCCTCCCTCTAGTTAATATTACAAAAAAGCATGTGATTATATCATAATCGATATTTTTTATTTCAATATATACAAAAAAAATTTCAAGATATAAATCTCTTTTTAGTATGTAATGATCCTGTCATCTTCACCAAAACATCTAATTTTAATGTCATCATCCCAACTAATGACGGATTCACGTTCTTTGAATGGTGTTACCAAACTATTCCAAAGTACCTTTGAGATATATTCATGAGATTTTTTACTAATAAAATCGATGGTTTTAATGTGAGTAAAGGAGAAAAATTTTTGAAATTAAAAAAAATAATATATATATATTACCTTGGATGAAAACAGTCAATATTACTTAATCCATCAATTGGAAAAGTGGTTAAATTTAAATCAAATCGATTATGAACAATAGCAAAATCATTTCTTTCTAGTTTAGAGTAATCAGCAACTATATTTTGTAAAATGGTATTATATTTTGCTGCTAAATCATCCATAATTTTTCGATTTAGAACACCAAATTCGCCTTTTTTTTTTTACAAGAAAGCCTTTAATTATTTTTTTCAATTAATGATAAAAAAATTAATTTTATAAATATTTACCTGGAGCAAATGCACAAGTACACTCGAAATTTATATAAGGAACATCATACCATCTACAATATTTTTGTCCATGTGTCACATCATAAACTTGAGATACATTGAACACTCCCATTAAATTTACTATTGTATTTGGTATTCTATTCATAATGCTGTCAAGCGTGTCACGTATAACCTTTTCAAACTTTTCAGGTGATGTGTTCATATTATTACAACTTTGACATAAATCATTATTTCCAATGAATAAATTCAAAAGCTGATGATTATAATTATAATTATAACGATATTATTAAAATAAAAACAGATATGTATAACAAATAGTTATTATGAATTAATTAATTACCTTAAACTTTCCATCAACAAATCTTGTACCTCTATGAGATTTTTCAAGATTAAGTTGCCATAAAAGATAATCAACTTGTTTATAAATATTACTTGCCATTGCACCAGATTCTGCACCATTCAAACGATCTTGTAAAGGTCTGTATTGATACGGTAAACAAAATAAACCTAATCACAAATAAATAAATTATTCCATTCAATTAAAACCAATTAATTAACAAGCAAAATAATATTTAATAAAAATAAATAAATTAAAATTAAATTAAATTAAATGCCTTGACATATATGAGTCAAATGATCTCCTAAAGACGCTCCAATCAAGCCATATCTAGAATAATAATTCAAAAATCTTGCCAAGCTAGTTGCATTTTCATCACCACCAATTGCAAAACTTAAACCACGATTCTCGTATAAATTTCTAGGATCAAATGGTTGTATAGATTCATTGTAGTCATGATCGTTGTCATCATCATTATTATTTAAATATTTTTTCTGTTGCTGTTGCTGCTGATCTAGTACATATAAAAACTCTTGGTCCTTTTTAATTTGTTTTTTATGCTTTTTATTAGTTGATTCTATCAAAAATTTCTCTTCATCATGTCCACGTAGACCTTTTGCACCAAATGCTGCCGTGATACTATCGCCCAACGCCATTATATAAGTGATATCATCTGCTCTCAAATCATGAACTGTCAAATTTTCGACATCACGTGGAGGCAGAGTTGGACATTCTTCAATTGTGTCCACATACTTGACTAAATTTGACTTTGTGGTGATATTTGATGAAGTGGTGGTGTCAACTATTACTAAATTCGTTTGACCATCATCCGCTTTTTCTAATAGAGGTATTGTGAAAATAAATAAAAAATAAACTGTTGCAACAAAAAAAACTGAAGCAAAGCTTATTGTCCATATATTTGAATTATTCATTTTTTTAATTTTTTTGATGGGAAAAATTTAATTATAAATATACTAAAATAATTTATACTTATTGTTATAATAACTTGTGATGTCATTATGACCTTGCATAACTATGAAGGTACAAATTATTGATAAAAATGGTTAACCGATGATTAACTTATGATGCGAACTCCTATTTCTGCGCAAAGTTCCAAAATAGATAATTTTTTCCCTCAAATACAGAAATCATGAATTTTTGATTAATAATTAAGCAAGGAATTGGTCTTTGCAGCAGCCGCTTGCATTTCTTTACAGATTCATTGTAAACTAGTAATTTTACATATCACGGGAAATCAATAAATAAATCGGAATGATTTACCAAAGTTGTACGCAAATAAAATCGGAAAAACTGATCGAGAGCCATTCACTATTCACTCGCATCTGTACAGGTTTTTCCCAATTTTATTTGCGTGCAACTTTCGTAAATCATTCCCGATTTATTTATTGATTTCCCGTGATATGTAAAATTACTATTTTACCATATTTTTCAAAAAACACATTATTTGAACTTTTATTTGAGAGTACTACGTAAAACAAGTATAATAACTTATTGATAATTTCTGGATTTGAGTTTCATTTATTGTTAAACCAGTTTCTTACTGGATGCACTAATGACAGGAATTGATAAATAATAGGAACATATATAATTATTTAAAGAAAGAATATTGCCATTATGAAGGTCGCGATGGACAAAATTTTTAGTTCATCTTTCAATTTATTAAGGCTTCCATATTTTATATATTGAATTATTCTTTTGTAATTAAGTCTTGTGTAATCCTATACATCATATCATAATCAAAGATGTTTTGTGAATTGTATAATGTTTTTAATGCTATAATCAAGCCTTCACCAATACTTTTACCATCAATTATATATTTATTACGATTAATCCAATTAGCTTTGTATGTAGTTGCAAAACCACCTTCACCTTTCTTTCAATATTATTATCATCTATTGTTTCGTTGCCATTAGTTCATCTTTCAGATAATAACCCCGTACCAGAACATATGTGCCATGCCTTACATATTGCAAGTTGAGATGTTCCGAAAAGATTGTTTGAATAATCGTTTGTGATAATTTATTTATCTGACGATACAAATATTAAAAAAAAAAATCAGATAATCAAAAATTTTTAATGATAATCTTTTTATATATATATACACCATTAATTTTTATTTTTACTTTTTTTTAAAACAATAATAAATAAACATGTCAAAGGATCAAAAAAAAAAAGTAATTAGGTAAATTTTTCAAATTGTAAAAATAAAATTAATAAAATTAATTTTTTTAAAAAAATCAAATACTAATAATTGATAATTAATACATATATAGAGTGTGGGTAGATGGATGTTTTGATATGATGCATTATGGGCACGCAAATGCTTTACGTCAGGTAACCAATCAACTCAATCAATTTAATTAAATAATTTGTTATTTGTTATCATCATCGTCACCACTCCAACATCATATTCAATAACAATAGGCAAAAGCAATGGGAGATTATTTGGTGGTTGGGGTTCATTCTGATATGGAAATTGAAGCACATAAAGGACCAACTGTCATGAAAGAAGAAGAAAGGTAATAAATAAATAATATTTAGATGTTATTTATTATTTATTTCAATATTTATTTTTTTTTTTTATTCACAATACTTCCAATATCTTTTTAGATATGCAGCAGTAGCAGCATGTAAATGGGTTGATCTTGTAGTTCCAAATGCACCATATTTTACAAGTTTAGAAATGTTAGACCAGTTTAATTGCGATTTTTGTGTGCATGGAGATGACATCACCACGCTTGCAGATGGGACAGATTGTTATAAAGAAGTGAAAGAGGCAGGCAGATATAGAGAGTGTAAACGAACACAAGGTGTCTCTACAACAGAACTAGTGGGTCGTATGTTGTTGATGACCCGAGATCATCATAAACGACAATCAACAAGCATTGCATCAGTCAATAATGAGGATTTGAATACATTTAGTACTGACCCGTCTCATAATAAAAAAATGGAAACAAAAATCTCTCATTTTTTACCAACATCTAGAAGGATTGTACAATTTTCGGAAGGAAGGGAGCCAAATGTTGACGACAAAGTTGTTTATGTTGATGGTACATTTGATTTGTTTCATATTGGACATATTGAATTTTTAAAAAGAGCTAAAGCCTTAGGTGATTATTTATTGGTTGGCGTTCATGATGATAAGGTGATTGATTGATTTGATTGTTCATTTTGATTGATTACTCTAGTTGATTAGTTTAATTGGTTAACACATTATATTATTAATAGACAGTCAATGCAATAAAAGGGGTGAATTACCCTTTGATGAATCTTCATGAGCGTGTTTTAAGTGTCTTGGCATGCAAAGTAGGTGTCAATTAAAAATTATTACAACATCAACAATCTATAAAGGATAATGTATATAAATTATTATATATATAGTATGTGGATGAAGTTATTATTGGAGCACCGTATAGTGTTGATAATAACGTATTATCCAAAGTATATAAAGTTGATATAGTTGCACATGGAAATACTCCATCTTTACCTGACATAAATGGCAAAGATCCTTACGAGGTATTTGTTAATTAATAACTTTAAATAAATAAATAGATTTACAAATAAATAAATTGATTAAATTAATTAATTATCTCATTTATTATTATTTAATTAAATAGTTACCAAAAAATAATGATATTTATATTGAAATACAAAATCCATCCGCAGATCTTACTACAGCAAAAATTATAGATCGTATAATTGAACATAGAAAGATGTGAGTGCTTAAAAATTAATTCTAATAAAAATAGGCTTTATTCTTTTAAATTTTAAATTAATATACATATTATGTATTAATATACATATTATGTATTAATTACATAATGATTAAAATTAATAGATATGAAGAAAGACAAGCAAGAAAAAATGAAAAGACGAAACTTGAATATGAAGCAGAGTTGTTAGAGAGGGAAAATAATAAGAAGAAATGAAAAATTAGAGAAATTTCTTTAATTTATATTTATTTGTTTAATGTAATTAATTGCATAATAATTGGATAACTTTGTATTTTTAATTTTTAATTTTAATTTTTCAGAAGTCTCTAATATCTATTATAAATAAAAATATCAAAAAAAAAAATCTCTTCAAAAAACACATAAATCTAGTCACCCCAAAACCAGAATGGGAATGGTACAATTTATCAATTAACTAAATCTAAGAATTCTACCCATGTCATAAGCTTCTTTCCCCTTACTCACATAACCTTTCCAGTTTGTTTGTTCCTGACTGGTTCAATGGCTTCCACAGTAACATACATTCTTTAAAGCGCATAGAAAAAATTCTATCTGCTACACATACTGTATGTATTATCGATCAATTCGTCACAGCGCTGTCATATCAACAAACACTCAACAAATCATTTGCTCACTTTCTTTCATTTTCTTCTTGCACCTAAAAGATAATAAATGTAAACTATTTCTTTTTGACTTTCAGTTGCTGCACCAGAAAAAAAGGCTCTTGCATCCTTGATTGAGATCCAAAGAGTGAAAACTGCGACTTGAATTATTATTTGCTGATATATAACTCACGTGAATTTCGATTTTATGAATAACTTTTTGTGGAATGAGATCAATCAATTATTTTTAAAGCACTTGATAACAAAATAAATGGTATCAATCTTTGAAAAATCAAATAATCGCAAAATAAATAGTACCGGAGTTTATATCTGAACACGGAGTTTTGATGCTTTGAAAATTTTACCAAAAAACGAATTATATATGTCGTATAAAGATCTATTGCTGCTGAATCGAATAAGATGTTATGATGCTGGAAAAGGCATTAAATAGTATAGATGTCTATTTTAAGATATTAGGTGGTGTTGTGAAATTTATTTTTGAAGTTTTCAATCCTGGGATTGTAAAAATCCAAGAGATTGCCAATGGGCATTTCCATGAGTGAAAACTAAAGGAACAGAAATTATAAAAGATATCATTTTCCATCCTGATACCCACTCCTATGGATAGTAAAACTCGCTCTTTTGTCAAAGATGAAATTATTTCTCTATGTTTTTGTTTATTTCTAGATTCTTTACGGTTTTGTGTTTAAAACCTTTTACTGTCTATGATAAACAATGGACTTATACCAAGGGTTAATGTGGTAAAATTAAAAGAATGTCCCAATGGAAAACTAAGACGGTAGTTGACAAAGATGTTGCTGGTGTGGTAAAAAAATTATGCTAAAGTTCATGGATTACCAAGGATCATCAATAGAATGACCCAATCAGTTATATTCTTACCAGTAGAAATGAGTTATAAATCAGTGTATAGAAATTTTCTTGCTGGTATTGAGGAAGATAGTAATCAAAATCCTTGAAGTATGATGCATTCAGAAAACTGTGAATATCATCTGACACCATAAATTCAAATAATGAGTCCCAGAACAGATTTATATTACAATGCTTGTCAAGAGGAAGAAGCCAAAGAATTACTCAAAAGATTTAAGAACATCTGTCCAAGGCAAATTAGAAAGAAATTATTATAATAAAAAACCAATTTGGTGGAAGAAAGTAAGCTAGTTGATCAACATTATCCAAAGGTAAAAAACACAGTATTGTAGTGTTGATGCTACTGCTCATTATATTTATAATTGAACCAAAATGTTCAGTCTTTTCATTTTTTCTTGCTTGTCTTTCTTCATATCTATTAATTTTAATCATTATGTAATTAATACATAATATGTATATTAATACATAATATGTATATTAATTTAAAATTTAAAAGAATAAAGCCTATTTTTATTAGAATTAATTTTTAAGCACTCACATCTTTCTATGTTCAATTATACGATCTATAATTTTTGCTGTAGTAAGATCTGCGGATGGATTTTGTATTTCAATATAAATATCATTATTTTTTGGTAACTATTTAATTAAATAATAATAAATGAGATAATTAATTAATTTAATCAATTTATTTATTTGTAAATCTATTTATTTATTTAAAGTTATTAATTAACAAATACCTCGTAAGGATCTTTGCCATTTATGTCAGGTAAAGATGTTGCTGGTGTGGTAAAAAAATTATGCTAAAGTTCATGGATTACCAAGGATCATCAATAGAATGACCCAATCAGTTATATTCTTACCAGTAGAAATGAGTTATAAATCAGTGTATAGAAATTTTCTTGCTGGTATTGAGGAAGATAGTAATCAAAATCCTTGAAGTATGATGCATTCAGAAAACTGTGAATATCATCTGACACCATAAATTCAAATAATGAGTCCCAGAACAGATTTATATTACAATGCTTGTCAAGAGGAAGAAGCCAAAGAATTACTCAAAAGATTTAAGAACATCTGTCCAAGGCAAATTAGAAAGAAATTATTATAATAAAAAACCAATTTGGTGGAAGAAAGTAAGCTAGTTGATCAACATTATCCAAAGGTAAAAAACACAGTATTGTAGTGTTGATGCTACTGCTCATTATATTTATAATTGAACCAAAATGTTCATGTACCACATTCTGATCAACAAATAAGATTTATTACCTTAGTCCTCATAAAGTCCATTTATTTGGTATTCAAGATGAAGCAGTAAAGGGACAAGAGCAAATATTACCAGCTTGAACCTGGAAATTGTACAACAAAAATACAACATATTTTATGGTGATTATTTAATGAAACTGAGAGAACCAACATATGAAGATTATGTCAGGAAATATTTGCCAAATGATCACTTTTTTGGTGATTATATGGATTTAGTAGATAAAATATTGGCAATTAATTGTTATTGTTATTATTTTTTTTTATCAATAACTATTATTGTTGATAGGAATTATTTTTTATAGATATACAAAATGGATTAAGAGAAGAAGAGATGATGATAATGAATATGGAGAAGAAAAGAGGGACATGAAAAGAGAGTCAATATAATTTTAGGCAAATTCAAAGATCTCATTAAATTTTACTGAATTGAACAAATTTTTAATTAACAGCAAGTAAAATGTTAACAGTAATAAATAGGTTGAGATAACAACAATCACCGCGGATTACAATTTCGATAATATGATAGTAATAATGATCATTATCATAATCATGATGATAGTACAATTGTAAATACTACACAAACTACATATTATCATCACCACAACTACAGAAACAGCAGACATGGTGCTTGATCAACAAATCATAATATCAGACAAACAACTACTTGTGGATGTAATAAGAGGAAAATTTTTTTTTAAGTGGAAATGCCTTTGTTTATTTGAACTAATAATGGCAATATTTTAACATACAATAGCATGGACTTTGATGATGATAATATAGAAGGCGAAGAACAAGAAATTCAAGATATGCGTTAATCTATTAATTAATTAATAGTTTACTATGTTAAATATTTAAATATTTTTGATACAGATAAAATTTTATTCATGGATTATTTTTGCAAGCAAATAATTAGTTAACGCTTAATAGTTAATTAAATAAATACATCATAAAAAATATCTCTGTGTCCACGTCTCTTATGCATTTCAAGGTTATTTCTGGAGACAAATTTTCTGTTACATCCACCTATGTCACATTCAAATTTTTTAATTCCAAGATGACGGTTCATATGTATTTGTAATAGTGCATCAAGTTTAAATGATTTGGCACATTCTGGATATTCACATTTGAAAACTTTTTTTTTTTTTTAGGTGAGCTTCCATATGTCTTTGTAATGCATCTTTATGAACAAATCTTTTGAAACATCCCGGATATTCGCATCTTCCAATATGAGTTAAATTATGTTTTCTAAGATTAATTCTATTTTTGAAGGTCATGTTACAACCCGGAGTTTTGCAAGCAAAGCCCTCGTCACTTTGATCTGTTATATTGTGACTGTTATTGTCATCATCTCCACTATTGTAATTATCGTCGGTAGATATATTATGATTTGACATCGTTAGATCATTGTCATCATTATCATTTACAACTTCTTCATTACTATAATTATCTAAATTTTATTATTATTATTAATATAGAACTAATTATTTATTATCAATATTATAACAATAAAATAAAACGAATAAGAAAATTTTTTCTTTAAAGTACCTTCTAGAGTGCTTTGGATAATTTGTATTTTTTTAATTTTTGTTTTGGTCATTTTCAAGTGATACAAACCATCTATTACTATTACTATGTATGTAATAGATAAAATATTATTTTGAATTGAAATTAGATTTTATTATATTTTTTTTTTTTTTCAAAATAAAAGCAAAAGACAAAAAGAAGCTCTTTTCAAATACTTCAAGAAGAATATTTATATGGTCAGGATTTTAACAAACTAGTCAAAATTGTTCAACAGCTCTAGTCCATTTTTATTTTTGTTTAATCAATATCCTCCCTCCATATATATAGTAATAGAATAATATGTTAAGTTTATTCTACTTTTGCTCAATTGGTTGTTTGGGCTTTAGCTTTTGCTTGACTTTTTCCTCAGTTAACTATTGAATAATAGTTTTCCTTATCCTCATTAATTGCTCTTTAATTTGCTGATTGCTTTTTTTCTTGCTCTCTTTTTTATTTTTCACTTTTCAGATTTTAACTTCTGATCCTTGTTGTCTGTAATTGGCTTGTGTCCTCGTTTCTTTCCTTCAATTGTTTAATAAAATTCTCATGATTTTCCTGTTCTCATCACATTCTGTTTTACCCCTTGTTGGTTAATTTCCAATTTCCAATTTCTGAATTACTCTGCTTCATTTTTTGATTTGTTTCCATGGTCAATCCATTTTCTTTTTCAATCTCTTTAATTA